CTCTCTCTCTCTCTCTCTCTCTCTCTCTCTCTCTCTCTCTCTCTCTCTCTCTCTCTCTCTCTCTCTCTCTCTCTCTCTCTCTCTCTCTCTCTCTCTCTCTCTCTCTCTCTCTCTCTCTCTCTCTCTCTCTCTCTCTCTATCTCTCGGTGTGTTTCTCTCTCTATCTCTCGGTGTGTTTCTCTCTCTCTCATCTTCTCGCTCTTTCTTAGGTTATAGATTAGCCTGGATATTGGAGAGGGCTCTTTATAATTACCACGTACGAATCGACCTGCTTTATTGTCTCGGTTTTTACGATTACGATTCGTTTCATACGATTGGTGCAATGTAGCGGCGCTGTACGTATGTGGTATGCGCCCGACAGCGCCGCTATGGCCCGCATGGGTCGGTCGCGTGTGCTAGCCATGCCCCCAGCTTCTGTGGGGCAAGGGGGGCGAGCGACTTCCACAACCCCATAGATTTTTAAGTAAAAAATAAAAAAATAAATATAGGTAACCCTAAAAAATAAGTGTAAATCCGCGAATCCAGAGTCTCACAGGCACCACGCTGCATTATACACGGTGACTAGAAACTGCGCCCTTCCCTCGTCTTTACTCGGCCGATTTAACATATTCTGTCCCCTAAAAAATTACTCAAGCTACGGCCCTGCTAGCAGGTGCCACAGGTGACCGTGTGAGGTAGTTATTTGCCGGGGTGGATACACGGCTTTCACTACTCGGTGCCCCGAGTGTATAGCAAAGTTACCGAGATGGCTTATACGTACCAAAGTAAAGACATTAACGAGTCGTAATTTAAATGAAGGCAGCCGAGTAGTAGATGGCTAGGAACAACCTCTCACATGAAAGTTCTAACTGTGTTGGAAATGCTATATTAATTAATTATCAGGCACCCGTTTTACCTATATCGTAGCATAGAAGGTTATGTGTTAATCTTTCTACTGATTCCTGTGCATAAATACTACGGCCCCTAATATTTGTCGGCACAAGCACACGTGATCAACACACACGCATATGCACGCATTTATATGCAAGAGTTATACTGTCTCAAGCATTTACTTAAAACGTTTTCCCTAACCATAAATAATAGACAGAGTCACATATACACACTGTCACAGATTTAATAGAGATCTGTGATGTTCGCGTTATATAGAGCGCCCCTCATTCATTGGAGCTGTGGAAGGCAGCTATGGGTAACTCCTGCCAGTGACACCCCACACGCTGCACGTGTATGCATGTAGATCGAGAAATCTATGGCCGCTGCTACGGGCAGACTTGTATCATATCACGCGCTATATATCACGTTTCCTGAGCGCCGCACATTGACATTTCTTCGCATTCGTGCGGTCGTCGTTGTTGCGAAGACGCACAAGCGTCGCATTTATTATGCATGTCTAGCTCGCTCAGCATGCGATTGTTCGCATTGAAACATTGCGTGTTGGTAAGCCCCCCCCCCCCCATTCACCGACTCAAGGAATACGAATGCTGCGTGACCACGTACACCCGTGGCCCTGCCACGGCGTAGCAATGTACATCTTCGACGCACCATATCAGGAGTCTATCAATATTGATAGACTCTTGACCATATGTACATTAATGCGTCGATGGATGCGAACGCGTTCTAGTTGGGGCTAGTTTTCACTGCCCGCTAAGCAGCATGCTATGACGGAGTTGTCGTGCCCACCGATGCTGCTGCTGCTGCTGCTGCTGCTGCGGGGAGAAGCGGCGTAACGCGATGCGACATGCGCATATCTGTCAACGCTTCGCATAATGATAAGCCCGCAAAGTTCTTGTGCAAAAGTAGCAGCAGTAGCGGCAGCAGTAGGCAGCGGAGAAGGCGGCAGTAGCTGCAGCAGCAGCAGCAGCAGGAGCAACAACAGCAGCAGCAACAACAACAACAACAACAACAACAACAACAACAGTAGCAGTAGTAGCAACAACGACAAAAAAGTGGCAGCGGCAGCAGCAATAGCAGCAGCAACAGTGGTAGCAGCAGCAGCAGTAGCAGCAGCAGCAATAATAGCAACAGCAGCAGCAATCTCCATACGCGTGAAAAAGTTTTGAGGCATTTCGATCGCCTCTATAAATATACGCGGCCGCATAGGCAAGTACTATGCGTGCTTATCGTAAGCCACTCAGAAGTAGACGGAAAAAAGTTATGCCACTCAGGAGTACATTACGCGTGCATCTAGAACGTATATAGCCTCCATGAACAGCTTGAAGTATTGGTGATTATGAAGTTAAAGAGGAAAATCGGCATCGTCGGCACCTTGGGAGTGTTGGCCACTATGGCATACTTCAGTCTGCTACATCTTGAAACGACCATGATCGTAGATATGAGAAGACTGTTCAGGAGCAACCTGACATTTGCTACAACGTGTCCGAGGTACGTAAGATGCGTTAGAACCGTAAAAATAAATAGAGACAGTCTAGATCTATAAGCAGTATTATTTCTATGGTTAGAACTATGCGAATGTGTTAACTGATGACGCATCACGAACGACGCAGTATATATGCTCAATACAGATCAGTTCATCGACTATAAGTATGACTTACGAATACAATCACTTACTTCAGAAGTCTATCATTAACGGATATGTTATGACAACAGAGGTCCACTTTAGCAAATATTTTATAACGAATATCTGAGTATTTTTGTGTTTTTTTCGCATATGTATACGGTAAAAATATTCCAAAGCTACAGAATTTATTACCTAATTTATGAACCCATTTTATGAATTTTTGATCACCATGCAGCTGTACTGTGCATTTAATTATTTCAAAGGAAATAAAGAGATATAGTAACTGTATATCATCGTATTCGCTGTGTAAGTCAAAATTACGGCGCCTACAGTCAGTATATATGAGGACCATGTGTATGTATTTACATGTCAGCATAAAAAGCTGGGCGCACGATGATAGCTTTACGCATCTTTTAAAAACATCATTACGTAAACATTCGGCCACGCTTAGACGTTGATGCATATATATTATGCTAATGTAGCCGGCTGGTTATACCCAGCGTGTATCAACGTGAAGTATATATAGGTGATGTGATATTGAAAGAATGGGGCAACATATTCGATGGAAAAAATATTCAATACAAACAGTGCGCTTTCTGGTATTTACTCGTGTTCGCGCGCGGCACGAGTTAACAACCGTCTAAAGTTTATAACATAAACTCGACGAAGGTTTTACAAATACGTACCACAGTGTTTTCGTTAACCTAAGAAAAACGCAAAATTCCGGTCCGGGGGGATTCATTTAATTTTCCTCTAACTTAATTTGCCATACTTGCGAGACATGTCCCTAGTTTATGAGTTCGTGCGGTTTTCCACGCCGTGAGAACCATTATTGCGATAAAATAATTTGTAATAACTCACCACTTTTCTGATACCGCCCAACTGTTTTTGGTTTATGAATTGAGCTCACCACGTTTGCTATAAGCCCCCGACACTTAGAGCAATAATTAAGATTATTACTCTTCTCATCAAAACATCTCTAAACAATCTCATTTTCTAAAATGTTTAAACATACACATACATTTTTAGTATTTTAGTAATCAACAATAATGTAGTTTCTTATCTAATGCTATGCTGTATTTTTAGACAGTAATAATCGACAATATAAACAACCCACCAAAATCATCTGGGCGGTATTACGGAAATGGTGAGGCGAGTTTATTACCACAGCTACGGACGTTTTTCTTAGTCTTACAATAGCAGTTGATATTTATTACGAAAGTTGGGTGTTATTACAAAATTGTCTTTTGTATCCGTCTGTGCATCACAGCATGCAGGTGCGAGATGACGTCACGGTGACCTCACGGCGACCCGCCCGCACGTGTGAGGAGGTTCAGCATGTTGTCTTCGCAAAGACGCACAAGTGTGGTAGCGATACGTTAGCGATCGTCTTCATGGTGAGTAAGTGATGCTATCACGTGATGATGCTATCACGTGATGATGTCATCACGTGTTGATGTCATCGCCCTGAGCCGGGCCTTAGCAAACGCGAGGCCTAAATATAGTTTCACGGTGCGCGGCCCTTTTTGTCGTCATCATTAATATTGCTGTTCCAATTTTAAAAATTCATTGTAAGCAATTACAGTTTATGTATAAAGTTGATTATCAAGTGAATTAAAATAAACGTGTATATAATATAAACATATTTTGATCCAGTCCAAGTCCTGTAACACCCCTAATTGTCTACGCTTCTATAATCACAATGAAAACTAGTTCCCAGAATATCATTTAGACTCATTAATTACAGAATCATGAGTGGCGTAGTTAGGGGGGGGGCAAAAGGGGCCATGGCCCCCCTGTTGATTCGAAAGTAAAAATAAAAAAATAAAAATAAAGAATTGTTCTACTAAAAAGAGAATTGTCCTAGTCAGAATGAAAGCTGTACATGTACTCAAAAGTGCCTCAAATACCATCTCCTGAGATCAACATTTTAAACATATTCTGGAAGAGGACCCCCATACCGCCCGCCTGTTTTTCACCCTCCTACTTTTATATATCTTGGCAGCAGAGAACAACAAACAAAAATGTCGCCGTTATGCATGGCGCCTGATACAAAGACTGCAGAGCTGAGAGGTGGGGGAACGTAGGGTGTGGAGAGGGAGGTGGAGAAACCATTAAAATATTAAGTTATCCACCATTTTGCGCAGTTCGCTGTTTTTGCCCCCCCCCCTGTTGAAAAATCATGGCTACGCCTCTGAGGATCATTATCCAGTACACGTATATATATATATATATATATATATATATATATATATATA